TTGACATGTCTTACGTAATGAATACCGCACTTTTCGTTCATGGAAATTGAATTTTTTTTGCATGCGTATTCACAAACATTAGATCTAAAAATTTGTTGGTTGTTTTTTCTTAAAAACGAATTAGACAATTTTTAATGAATGTTTTCCTTTGGTAGCATTCAAGTTTTCAAAAAATCCGTAAAAATCCACACTCCAGACACCACCAACAAAAATCTATTTCATATATCAATAATTCAACTGAATTGTGTTATATCTTGTCTTCCTTCTGTGAAAATTTCACGAAGATTGGATGAAAAATGGTGGAGTTATTCAAAAAAGTATAGAGAAAAGTTTGAGAAAACGGCCGATAAATAAAAATAAAATACTGACTTTATGAGGAAATGGCGATGACAAACATGCCCTGTATGGGAAAAAATACGTTTTTTGGGGGTTGTTATGTGATGAAATAGTTGTAGGAGAGACTGAGGAAGCTAAAATTGCCTACAACTCAAATTCCATAATTTTGAGCCGAATTTTGACTTTGGGGGTGTACCCCCCCCCCCCCCCCCCTTAAAGATTGTTCATTTGCTTTGCTTTTGATGGAAAGAACATACATTTATCTTGAATAGAAGGGGATATATTTGCAATTGAAGGAGGTCGGGTCGCCTGATTCCAGAAGTAAAATTAGCGGGAAAATGCCCCAAAGTTTGGTGACTTCCATAGCTTCAGACTCCTTGAAAACTGTAAATTTATATTTTCTGTGCCTTTAATCAACGTTTTTCCATTAAATGCACACATAAATGTGTCTTTGAATGGACATACAAGGTATTGAGCTATAAATAAAAATTCGATAAAAATTGTCAAACGGGGAGAAAAATAACGTTTTCTTCGATTTCTCTATTTTGACGAGCGCCTGATTTCACCTTGATGCCTCACATTTGTAATCGTTAGACATTGAGGAGCGGATGCTATTCTTCTTCTTCTTCTTCTTCTTCTTCTTCTTCTTCTTCTTCTTCTTCTTCTTCTTCTTCTTCTTCTTCTTCTTCTTCTTCTTCTTCAAATTCTTCTGTAGTA